GGAAACTTTAAGTCCCCACATTTTATGTTTAACCCATCGTTATGCTTATCTATATGTGCTTGTGAGTCTGTGTGTTTGCATGTTCGTTTCCCGTCGAGTTTGTCTCTGTTTAAAGCTTTGGTGTAAGCCCCAAGTCTTGTCATTCATCATGCACATCGGGTTTGTCGCATCAGCATTTGCATCTCTCCTTCAGAAATTGCAAAATGAGATTAATAAGAAAATTGAGTTAAGAAATGTTAATTATAAGCTTAATACTGGTCATGATAAAATATTTAAAGAATTCAAAGTTGGTGATTTTGTGATGATGTGGATTCGTCCAGAACGGTTTCCTGAAGGAACCGTTAAGTTACATGCTCGAAGCGCAGGACCTTTTAAAATAATTTCAAAGATAAACAGTAATGCCTATGTGCTAGACCTTTCTGAAGGTTTCAATATTAATCCTACGTTTAATATTGAAGATCTTATAGCCTTCGAGGGACCAGAGTTTAGCCCTACCAATCCACTATATAATGAGCCTTGTGTGAACCTTCCCAGTGAGAACCCCAGCCTACCCCCACTCCCCAATTTGTCATATTTATCCAATATAGAAAGATTGAAGCAATACTTGATCATATCCACTAAAGAAGGTGGGTGCCAAAAGTACATAGTTCATTGGAAAGGGAAATCGAAGACGGAGGACATGTGGTTTGATCCGGAGGAGCTGCAGATAAGTGGACCCCGGCTTACTAGAGTGGATTATTCGACGGGGTCGAGTTTTCTCCCACCTGGGGAGAATGATGAGGACATTGTCAGCAATTTTGACACGTGTACTATTGGAGACGCCGGAGATTGACGGCCACGATCAGGAGTTTTATTTTGAGTCTTTTTATGTAATAGTTTATTTTATTTTTCAGTTTTTTCCGTTTTTGCCCTTATGAGTATTTGGTCGCTATTGTAGCCCAAGGGGCATTTTAGTCTTTTATTTTTCTTTGTCATTTTGAGGCCTATATATATGGCCATTTTCTTATGTAGGAGGATGATGAATTATTGATAATGAAATTTCTTTATGTTCTTGTTGATCTCTTAGTGAGTTCATGTGATCTCTTAGTGAGTTCATGAGAGGAGAAGTTCGAGGAGGGTAATTTGCAATACCCGTCAATCTTTGGAAGAGTCCGAGGTTCGCGGTTCTTACAATCTCTTTGTGAGTTCGTTAATTATCTCTATATTTCTCGTATATTCTTGTTCATCTCCTTTCTGTTAGCATGCTACACATGCTAGATTGCATTCTCTAGGAGTCTAATTTGATTGTCCTTAGTACGCTTGCATGTGCGTAACAATCATTAGATAGTTTACTATCTGTTTTCCTTATGCGTATTTCCCGAAAATCATGCATAGTTATTTCTTCTGTTTAATAAGCAATTTCGATTGGTTTTAGAGTGCTTGCCTTATCATCACCACTACACCCATATATAGTCTAGGACTTTAGAACAGATTGAATTAATTTAGCTGTCCACTATAATCCCATTCACCGATCGGTATTAGGTTGACAATTTTTTAAATGTGATTAATATACGTCCACACCCCTAGAGTACACATCCAAATTGCTTGTTAGTATATACGTGTGTCCATCATTTTAGTTTGCTGTTCCGTTTTTCCAACGGCTGTAGTTGCTGTCCACACAAAATCTGCAGTGAAATTGGTAGCATTAAGTGAGTTCTACCTTGTGATTAGCGTGCTACCTAAGCGGCTATAGCATACCTCCTCTAAATCACTAGGGTACACTCTAAACCTTCTGAAGCTGCTTGTATCCAGTACAATTTTCCTGCACTAAATTACATATAGCACAGTCGCATGATGGCGTGTTCCTCTTTGAAGAGAGACGTACCTCTGCACCCCAATCTTTCATGTATGGTTCACTTGGAGGCACTTACGCCCAATAGGACCCGATAGACTCGCAAAAGAGTTTAGATAATCGTTAACCTATGTGGCAATAGTAACTAGAATTATGACGGAAGCAAACCCATTACATCCCCAGCTCTTATATGCCGCCACTCGGCTTTCACCGCGGACCTGAGCCTAGCGCATCCACGACCTTCACTTAGAGTCACGCTTACGATCTTCTACCGAACCTTTGATGGTCTTCGACTCTATACTTTTAGGTGAATGGGTAGACAAACTAGTATGACTATTTGAATCATGTCATATCCCTGAGATCCACAAGGTTAGCATCGCAAGTCTCACCTTAAAGGTCGAGCTCTCAATTGGGCAAGAATGGAAGATCATAAAGAGTCTCGCGGTTGATTATCTACATGGAAAGACATCGAGGCGAGGATCTAATTTAAATGCTGTCCAGCACTTTGGAAGACCACGAACTGCTGTCCCTGCTGCAGCTTTTCCCGTTCTACATCAGTTTGGGGGATAAATATAGATTTATTCCAGTTTTTGCAAGGAACAATTTCAGATTTTGGAGAGGAGATCCTCTCCGTAGCAAAGCCGGCGTTTCGTCGTGACGTCAGCATAGAGATCGACGCCACCATTGAAGATTACGTGGATCGGATACTAGTTCCCTATCAACCGCCATCGACGAATACTACCGTCCATCCGAGTGGCCACGCTTGCACTGATCATCAACCCCTCCAGCTCCGAATAGCTTTCTCGTGGACAGTATTGTAAGCTCCCTCTTCATCGTGGTGATCACATTAGTGTGCTAATATCTTTCTTCCATTAACCGCAACAGAGTGAGGGAAACTCAAGGTGACTTTTCTAAATATTAACCCGCGGATTATTGTTAAAGTGCATTCGTCATTACTCGCATGTTTGTTATTGTTTTAAATTGTTGTGCCTAATGAGCTTGTAACAATGCCTAAGCAATTTTGCAACTGAGATTTCATTAAATCATTAATTGTGACTCGTTAATCTTTATATCGACTTGCTTACTCCGTTGTCTTATTATGTCTCCGTGCAATTCTTGATTGGTTTCACATCAGATTCACAATGGAAAGAGATTGACAGTCATAGTGAGGAAAGTAGTGAAACTAAATCAGAAGATGAAAATGTGTGAGCGCATGAGATTCAATATCGAGTGATGAGCTTGAATGATATATATGTTCTCATTTCATTTTTGTAATATGTCGTTTATATATTTGTTTCATTACATTCTCTTTTCATTATTTTGATTCATAACTTATGTCTCTTTATTATATGTGTGCAGAAGGCATCTAAGGATGAATCTCATAGATCCATCACATCAAGTTTTGGTGGGCAGAAGCATGTGACTTCAAGCCCTTCAAGAAATACTGGTACTGACAACCAGACCAGATCTCACAACCTACTGTGACTGCTCAGCTTCCTACAGCTTCAGTTCATAACATTATTAATACCATCCCATGCTTCCCTTTATCAGGACAACCCCTTTTATCCATATTATCCACCACCACCACCATCTCAGGCAGGCCCGTCCACATATCAATACCCTTCATACATAGCCTCTCTACTACCCACCTCTACCACAGGCATATCATGCAGGACCTTTTACATCAACCATGCAGAGGGCTGAGGGCAGTTCAGAGGGTTCAGACAAGCACATGCAAATTAAGCCATATGGTGACACGTAATTATGCATTTAAATAGAATTTTTTAGTATAGTCAATTTTCTCTAATGTATAATATTTACTTAATGGTCTAAGCCCTCTAGACAAACAAAGCATAATATTAAGTATATCATAAGGAACCAATATAATGCTTCCTATATATCATGGAAGAAAATACTGCCAGAAGTCTGGGATATGTGGTTACATGAGTTTGTGGTAAAGAAATGCTAACGTAGTTGTTGCCTTTACTTTAACTATATTTTTGAATCAACTCAATTCTTTTATGCTATACAGAAAGATTTTAAGTGACTAGCTCAATACAATGAATGATCAGAAAGAATTTTGAGAAGATAGGATCCGCTCACCTGCGAGATATGTTTACAAATATTCGAAAGTAAGGTGAGTGACCTCAAGAATTGGTGAGAATTTCAGCTAATCTAAACCGAGCTGGGAAACCTAAATTATACTTGGAGGGGAACAAAACAAACAAAATTAGGCTTCAGATGTGGGGCATGGGTAGATCCCTCCATACAGGAGGTTCAGTTCTGCATATCAAGCATAGATGTTGTTTGGTATAATTTCTATGTTAAGTATCTTTAAATGTTTTCATTGAACTACATAAAAACACAGTCATTTAACTTTCGAAAAAACAAGCACTTGGACGGGAACATACTCTGTTGGAAATACATACACACATTAATGTCAGGAGAATCAGCAATGAGTAGATCGGAGATTTAGGAAAGCCTAAGTACTAGAATTTTCATTGAAATTATGTTTTTAAGTTATTTATATATTTCATATATTTTAGGAGAACAACGTAAGACTATGTGATGCACAAACACATGCTTTTGTGGTGAGAAATCCTCTGTGAAATCTACACAGGCTTCAGGGTATAATTTGTGGTCCCAAGCTATTGGGGGGATGCATCATGGGAGAGTGTATGAATTTGGCTCACAAACATATGCATATGAAGCTTTTATTGGCTAATTTCGTCAACCAACTTCATTTTTTTTAAACATGTATTTTTGAACATGATGTTTTCAAGTAATCTGAGCATGACAAATATGAAAGCCAAACACGACAAATGCTGAAAAAGGTAATAATCTGCTGACATCCTGAAACTCATAAAAGCAATCTCAATATCTAAAACAGGTTACATGCTCATGAACAAAGATCCTGCAATAAATCACAAAGTTCAAACAACGACATTATGTTCATTTTAAATACTTAACACCCAGATATCCAACCCCTCAAAAATTCAAATATCTATTCCAAAATTTTCAAACAATTATATACGAGAAATTGAACAGTGGAGGGGCAATCTTATATCTAGCTTTTATGACAATCAAAGAACAAAGACATACTGCTAGAAAACAACGTTGGGTTTTAATTAGCTAACATATGACGCAATTGCTCAAAAAAAAAAATGACCTCCAAGACTTCATCAAACTCAACAAGGCTCTTTCTTATTCCAAAAAAGTATCTCTCTGCATTTACTTGAAGGTCCAAAAGCTGTAATTATGTAAACAAAATGATCTTAGCAAAAATTATTCATGATAATTACCAACAGAAGCAACAACAACAATAGCATTGATAACAAGGAAAAAATTTTATAAGACCTGTTTTACAACTGCACGACCCTCAATTGGTATGTCCTCGTTATCTGTTATCTTTGATATGAGCTTTATAGCCCACTCCGTATCAAAATTGAACTTCTGAAACATCTCATCCTGTAAACTGTTAAATGAAATGTTAATTTATTGATTCATCTAAAAGAAAACAATGTCACTGAATCAACAGACTTTACAAACAAAAATTCAGTTAATAATCAATGCTTCATAACGAGAAGAACAAGGAAGAATAATCTTAAGGATGAAGCTAACGCAACAATATCCAAGAAAAAATAACCAACTGAAAACTCATATCATGAAAGAGAAATTACTAAAATTCTATATTCATGACTCCGAGGTTCAGAACACATGAGAAATTACTTAAACATTGATACAGATCCATGCTAAGAAATACTTAGAAGAGGATCAAGAAACCAGATACTCGACACTCCCCTGGTAAAGGAACAGGGTAACCAAAAACACATAAAACGTCTAGGATACATAAACCTTCTCGTCATTGATTTATCAAGTTTTAAGAGACCAAATTAGAAGTGTTTCTGATCCATGGCTCAACAAACTCTTTCAGCTGGAACAAGGATAAAAGAAACATCATGTCGACTCCACATTCTCCAAAATGTCTTAAAGGATCAAAATGAGCTAATTATTGATATCGGGCCAGGAAAAAGCTTAACATATGGATACATCAAAAGAACTCTCGAAAGGTCATTCAACATGACAAACAAATGTAGCGTGCTCTAGTTGTAAATTACACTAATTGGGGAATAAATGGTGTGCCCATGTTTGTCCAACAGCATTGATTTGAGACCTTAAAGCAAGGACACATAATTAAAACTCAAACTTGTAGCTATGATCCACGCTTAAATTGTTTTTTTTTTTTTTTTTTACCTCCATTATAATTTTGGCTCGTCGTGATTATTCAACAAGTTTTATACTGGTTGTCGATTACCTAAAGCAACCCTCCATTTTTCTCATTTAGGACTTGAGACCTGGCAACGATAGTGTTAGATGGATATACGTGAAAAGGTTGGAGTAGCTCCAATGGAAGATAAGATTAAAGAGAGTCACCTTAGATGGTTTGGTCGCATTAAACGGAGGCCTTCTGATGACCCGGCTAGGAAAGTTGAGGTATTATATTTGAATTATGTTAAAAAAGGAAGAGATAGACATAAAAAGGGTTGATTAGAAAATAATAGAAATGATCTTTCTTTATTAGATTTAAATGAGAATTTGATTTTTAACAGTTGGCGAAAAATGATTCATATAGCCGATCCCACATAGTGGGACAAAGGCTTGATGTTGTTGTTGTAGTATAATTTTGGCTCGTAGTTCAAAGGTGTGCACAGGATTGTCCAATCGCATCAGTTTGAGACTTCAAAAGTCTCAAAAATGAATTGAGTATTGATGATGTTTGATCAAGAAAAAGCTCATTTCAGTCTAACAAGTGAATGCATCAAACGAAAACTTGAAATGCATCAACATGACAAGCAACTACAGCATACTCTAGAAATTCATAACACTCATTGGGCGAGAATTTTTTTACCACCATTTTCTACCTTGTAGTTCAAATGCATTCTCAAAGTTTCTCAATCACATCAATTTGCAACCCAAAAGACCCATATTAACACTCTTAAATGTGGCCGCTAACTAATGCTACATTGTCCCTCCCCACCCAAAAAAAAGTCAACCCTAGCATACACTATCTCAGAAGCGAAAAGGTGTTGGTGAGGCTTTCATGTGACTTGCCCAACCTTGCAAGCTTGGGATACCGGTTGACTCCCCAACAAGGCCTACTCAACTCTCAAAATCAAAGTAGCTAGCATTTTTAGTCCTGCATCATAAGTTTTGTGATTTTGGCTCCATCCTTCATCAATAAAAAGGGAGATGAGAAAGGGAATAAAAAAATTTCTAGATTAAAAAAATAGAGATTATGAAAACTATTGGAGACGAAAAATCACTACAAAAAAATTTCACAAAGTGAGCCTCATAATAAGGTGATTCTAAAAAAATAATATTTTATGATTTTTCTTTCTCACCTCAATTTTGCCAATTGAATCTCGCGGGGATGATCGAGAATTTTTTATTTTCAACATATTTGAAATATTTTGTAATCAAGTACAGTACAAAAACTAATGATTATCCGGAAGGACAAAAATATTATTTAACTATGAACTCCAAAACAAACTTACATTTTATCTTAAAATGCTTAGAGATTTACACCTACACAATATGTAAGATTGAATAAGATTTATTTTTATTCCGGGTACATGTTCCTCACCACAATAGTTAATTACATCCCAAACATATTTGGCATTTGAGAAAAATTGTTATTACAATAATGATTTATATTTTTTTATCAAAATATTGGGCAACTTTTTTATATAATTTCAAGAGTTTTATTTAAAAAAATTGGTCTTTAGAATTTCAATGCTAAAGGGATCAACTTAGAATTAATTTTGAATAAAATTCAAGGGGAAAATATAAGAGTATCTGATTCTATAAAGCTCAAAGGTATTCAATATTATATATGTGTTGGGCCTTATATTTTAAGATCGAATTTATATTTAAGCTGATAAATTTCATTTAGAAAATTGGGTTTTATATTCCAACAACACAAGATTCACCAAATGTGAATGAGAGGACTTATGACGTAATTGAGAACATCAATAAATAGTAATTCAAACCTAATGCAGAGAACTTAAAAACTTGAAATCTCACATGGAATTAAGTAAACCCAATATTTTGTCCTACAAAACTTCCTATAAATAACAGCTAGTTAAACCTACCTAAGCACTTTTAAAACGATGCAGCCTTCATCTAAATGCATATGCAAGATAGGCTTAACTGTATTGATTTTAGGAATGAGTTACTAGTTAAACTAAGATACCTAATCATGGGGTATGCATATGCCGACTCCTAATAAAATTATTTTATTATCTAATTTTTAAAGTGAGGGCTTTTATTTTTATATGCAACTCACAAAATTATGCAAAAGATATTCATCAACAAATATATGTGTTAGATGCTAATTGTTAAGCAAATCCATACGAATAAGCAAGCAGTCAAATACTGTATTGCACACTAAAATCTATAGGTTGCTTTGAATTTCATTTTAGTTTTAAAAAATCAGCTTATTTTTATAAACTATTTAAATTTTATTTTAAAAAAAATCAAATTAATCCCAAATTCTTAGTAACCCAATTTAATCATAGAGTTTTGCACTACTACAATCTAGTTTCTTAGCAATTAAAAAGTGATCCAACTTGGCCCCCTCTTAATAGAACTATTCTAATTGGCTGAAAGTGTCGCCGCTTCAAGGAAAATATCTTTATTCGTAATTTGAGGGCATTTTAGTAAAAGCTAATTTAGAAATTCTATTCTTTTAAACTCTCGCCTATCAAAACACCTAGTGCTTAAACACTACAGCCATGCGAGCTATATACAACTTGAAATAAATGGCAAGACCTAGAGTTTGTGAATGGGATTGGCAAACACATCTTTAACAAAGGCAAGGGAGCGGACGATGCCTTGTCCACAAAATGCATCAACAAAAAATCACTCAGAGATAAATTACATGAAATAGAATTCAAATGCAAATATTACAATAGCAGAATAACATAAAATATAAAAATTGCATAAAAGTATCATGTAACATTAAGTCCAATTCCAAGTTCTTCTTTTCCTAGTTCCGAACTCATCTACAATTAATTTCGAAAGAATTAAATAATAGTATGATAACAACACAAAAGTCATATGTGTTGTCATCACTAATGGGTCTTTATTTGAGCCATCATTATAATGAATTGATTTCTCCCCTGCCTCATTACCTGCGAAGTCTAATATCTCCAAATATTCTTCTTTTTCATTAATTTCAATCATCTTACTCATCCCTAAACATTTGTCAACAACATAAAGATGAAAGTAATACTCCAAATTGAAGCTTAAAAAAATTAATTCTTTTTATAAATATTTTTGTTTTAATTTTGTCTACTACTGGCTTGTAGTGAATGCAAATGCTTTGTTCTATCACCATCAAAAAAATTAATGTTCAAATCTTCTTGTAATTCAACTTGTGTTAGTGTAGTTCATCATCCACAAACTACTCATCATCTGATATCGTATCCTCAAATATCAAAGAATCATCGCCATCCCTCAACCCTTTCATCTTCAGGTTTATGTCTTTTAGTCTCTTATTGCATATGATGTACACAAAAGAATTTATCCTTAGGATTTCCAGAAGATTCTCCTCTTCATGTGTATTTGATTATGCATGCTCAAATTGCCTTCAAATCCATATGAAGAGTACATTAATCTCAAAACCTTAAAAGTGAAATGTTATAGTTCTGGCATATCATTACCAAATTGTATCTACCACTCAATGGAGGTACAAGTAAATGAGTATAATAAGCAGAATGATTTATTTTGACCTGGTTAGGAGAGTATATGTATTAGATTTGACTTATGTTAAGAAAGGTGGAGGTAGACCTAAAAAGAATTGATTATAAAATATTAGAATTGACCTTTCTTTAATTAGATTTAAATAAGAATTTGACTTTTAATAGGACACAATAGATAAAAAGGATTCATTTAGTCGACCCCATGTTATGGGATAAAGGGTTGATGTTGTTGTTGTTGTTTTTGTTATAAAAAGAAGCAAAAATTACCTAATGATCGCATTAAAACTAGATCTTTCATATGATGCAATTCAAATAAGTCATCATTATTCCTAAGAGATCAATTGCATATTAATATTTGCTCTCAGATGAATCAACTACAAGTCTATTCATGCAATGGTATAATCATAGTTTTATCTCAGGATTTGTTAACTTATTTTTTGCATATTGAAACTAAAGATTCAAATAGTAATTTGTTGCATATAAGTGATGATGAAACTGTAGCTCGCACTTTTCATTAATAATATCTCAAATTTTAATATAGCTATCCTCTTCTCCTCTTACGTTACGGGTAATCAACTCCTTTATTTCATCAATTGCTTTATATATAAAATCTATTGCATGCTTCTTCTTAACATCTAACATCCTCAAAACTTGCATCAATGACCTAGTTGTTATAACAGCATAAAGCCCACTCTGTCAAAATCTATCATTC